GCCTTACTGCAGTCCCGATCCCCTGATACCCGTTTAAGGTCCCTCCACTGATCTGAACTGATGCATGAACACTACAAGCAGATCTGTTTCCTTGACCTTTTACCTGTGTCCGAGTTCATGGGCAATCGTAAAAGCCAGAGGGAGACCAGAGTCTTCATTGATGTTACAGCTCCGGTGAGGCTGGCACATCCCAGACAGGTGAGACAGACCCAGGGTCTCACAGGGCCGATTGACACCAGCACAGATGTCTTTTCTGCAAGCAGATAACAGAGATGCTGAGATACCACCAAGAAACAGCTGAAAAAAAATCTTCAGGAAAAAAAATCTGAATATAAATACACATTTAGTATACTCTATATAAAGTATGCTTAAAAGATAATTTAAAAGTTCATATGACTATAAGGAACAATTTCAAATTCACTATTATTCTTATTTCACCTCTGGGTTATTAAATTTCACTAACATCTAACAAACGTGGGAAAATGTGGCAAACATTTTATTTTGAATTGCTCTTGTTCTTAATTTTAGGGGACTAAATTATATGACTTTAAGAACAAAAGAAAATATTTCCTTATTTTATTTTTGTAATTTACTAGATGGCACATGTGCTTGCCAGAGAGACAGAGAGAAAGAAAAGGAAAATGAGAGAGCACCTCCTCCATAATGACACAGCCCTTCTCCACTCTCCCTTCGGGATTTTGGTCACGCATACACATGATCCTGGCATGTTTTTTTCAAGCCACCAGGTGTGGGAGTTAGGACTACACAGTGGGCCATGTGGGATCCAGATGCTGTAACGACCATGCCACAGGCTGGCCTGAAAATTTTGTTTAAAATTAAAGTTAATTTGAAAAGGAACAATCAGCAATGACTGGGTTTTTCGAATATGAAATTCCTGTTCAGTTTTTCTGAAATCTGTGTTCAAAACTCATCTGAGAAGTTTTTTCATTTATGTAAAAAGGAATTGGGGCCCAGCCATGGTAACGTGCACTGTTTGACACTGCTACTTAGCAGGCTGGAGCCATCTGGGAGGGCAGGTTTCAATTTCTGGCCCACCTAGAAAGCCAACATTGTGGGACATACCTGTAGTCCCAGTTACTCAGGCTGAGGAGGAGGATCACAATACAAGGAGACTGTCTATTAAAGAAGAGGCTATTAGGCCCAGTCATAGTGGGGCAACAGCAAATTAAGTGCCTCATAAGGGTGGAAGTCATCTTGCAGCTGCAGATTCAGATCCCCAGGTGACCTGAAAGCACATTGAGCATGTGTTTGGGTGTTCAGGAGCCCAAGGAGCTGAAGGGCTGGGGAAAATGGGACTCTGTTAGAAATTTCTCTTTCTCTTTCGCTCAACCTCTCTCTCTCTTGCATGCAATGCCATAAGCAAGCAAACAAACAAAAACAGTTGGTTCCATCAACCCACCCATATATCAAATCAAGTATATATCCAGCTCCATTAAACTAACATGATTGCACATGGAAGAAGCTCCACATACATGTGTGTGCTCGTGCACACATGCGCCTTCCTTGGCTTCTTGTTTCCTCTTTTTGTCAGGAATTCACTATTTCTCAACTCCAGAAAGAGAAAGAATAGACCCTTAGGATCTCAGAAAATACTATTTACAGTTTTTAAATATAAAAACATGCTCCTGGGACCAGCAGTTAGCATAATGGCTATGTCGCTGGACTCCCACGTAGTCGACCACGGTTCGCGTCCTGGACCTGGTGGCTTAAAAAACTCACACTGGGCACGTGTGCGTGCGTGCCCAAGATCCCGAGAGGAGAATGGAGGAGAAGGGATTGCGGCGTGGCCATCCCCCCTGGGGGGTGATTTCTCGCTTTCTATCTCTCTGTCTCTGTCTGGCGAGCGCACGCGCCCTATAGAAAACCTCTCCAAAAAAAAAGAAAAAATAATGCTCCCATATCCTGATAGGGATTATTTTCATCACTGACAAAAGTTTTGGAAGAGTCATCAATTAGTCATTTGGGTTTTTTTCAGTACAAAAAGAGCTCTTAGCCAAGGGTTGCTGGCACAAGTGCCAGTGAGCTTCTGAGCTTTGATTCGTTCCAAAAACATTAGTTCATGGTATTTGTATGGGCACAATTTCTAGCAACAAATGGTCTCCTTCTTGTGTCTATTTGGCTATGTAGCAGATCCACGCTTCAAGAACCCTTGTGAGCGTTCAGTTCTCCAGGTGGGATAGGAGAGAGCAGCTGCAGTCTCAGTACATGCACCAGATATGGATCCCCACTCTCACTAATGGTAGCAATTGCTAGCGTGGGGAGGGAGGTTCCATGTTAGAGAGCTAAATCACACAGTACAATCCTATGAATAATAATAATCTGAATATAATGCAATCAATTTTGGGATCCATGGGAAGACCAAGCATTCCCACCCCTCCTGAAGGATGTGTTTGTTACTATTTCATTCAAAAAGTCTAGGTCTGCATAGAGCTGCTGGGAAAAGATGAATAGTGCTCATTGCTAGTCCACTGACTTTCTTATTTTGGTATGTCAGGAGGTCAAGTCCATTAAATAACTTATGAAGTACTTACTAAATGCCCTGTATTAAATAGGAGGAAAGGGGGAACAAAAGAATTGTAGGAATATGGCTTTTGCAGATAAAGACTTAATCTTCCAAAAGGAGATTACTTCTACCTTCCTCCTGCTCTGGGGCCATATAAAAGAAAGTATGCCTTGGCATGCAGTCACTAACTATCAAATCTACAGTCTTCTGAATGCAGCAGCACAGAGAACTGAGTTAATGTGGATATCACGATAGTCTCTCACAGGCAGAACCCAGTCTCATACCTCTCTCCTCCCTTATGTCTATTTATTTATTATTTTTTTTTAGATCAATGATTTTCAAGGAAGGTAAAAGAGGGGCTGGTGATTTTGCCATTTACCATCTCTGAGGGACATTTGGAGACAGTCTGGGTTTTCATAACTTGGAGGAGGGTGCTAGTGGCAACTCATGGGTAGAAGTCAGAGTTGCTGCTAAATGAGTTACAATGCATAGGACACCCTCTCGCAATAAAGAACTTTCCAGTTCATATGTCCCAAAATGTTCTTAAGTTGAGAAATCTTGCTTTGCAACTTAAAATGCTCTCCACTGTCTAGTAACTGGTGAGGTTCATCATTCTTTGATAAAACCAGACCCTAAGGTAAAAAATTTATCATAATGAAAAAAGGAGAGCAGATCCTTTGAATTCATATTGAATAATTGTTTTTTGATTTACATTTAATCATGTATCTCTTTATACTGTATAACATTTCTTTTTCCAGCATGACTACCATGCATGTAAGTCAAGACAAAGATATTACTAGGCGCATTCTCATCGGCAAATAGCTTCTCAATTTTTTTGGTCAATAAAACGTACTTTTACTTTTATTCCTTCCTCTTTCCCCGCTCCCCTTCCCATACTAAACTTTTTTTCACCTTTTAATGATTTATCAAAGATCTTAATTAAACTAAAAATATGGATAAAGCTAAAATCTAGTGTTAAGTGCACTGTAATTTTCTCCTGAAATATTTTTTTCTCTCTCCAATCCCCCTCTTACTAAAAAGAGGTATAAACTAACTTATTTGCAAAAAAAGAAAAAAGGTTTTAGTGTCAGTTTATTCTGTTATTTGCACAAAGCCCCATAAGAGTTTAATTTCTGATGCAAGGCAACAGATACTATTGGATTACTGAACTTATACAAATAACCATTCTGCCACAAAATAAGAATACTCACAAATATTTTCCAGTTGCAGAGGGGTCAGAAAGGGAGAAAATATTATGTTTCAATTTAAAAAAAAATTAACAGATTGCTGAACCTATCAACAACTCAAAAGAAAACAAAAATCCTTAATTTTTAAGAGTATGGCATTGACATTGAATTTCCTGGACTTAAAACCCAGCTGTATCCATTAACAGCAATGAAATTTGAGGAAGAGACACTAAATCTCAGTTTTCTCTCTGTAAAATATGAGTGGTTGGGCCTAGCAGATGGCATGGTGTTTAAAGTGCTGGATTCACACATGGTTGACCATGATTGAATTCCCAGACCCAGTGGCTTGAAAATCATGTGGGCATATGTTCATGTGTCCAACATCCCAAGAGGAGATGGAGAAGAAAGGATTGTGTCATCTCCTCTGGAGTGTGATTTCTCACTTTTTCTCTTTCTGCCTCTCTCCAGAGAGTATATGTGCCCTATGGCAAAAAAATTTAAAAAAAAAGAGTGATTAATAATCGACTACCAATGTGGTTTTAGGGATTAACTGAATCAATTTATTTATTTATTTATTTTTTTTTTGGGAGAGATTTTTGCTATAGGGTGCGTGTGCTTGCCAGAAATACAGAGAGACAGAAAGCAAGAAACACCTCCCCAAGGGGGATGGCCACACCAGTCCCTTCCCTTCCTTTCTCCTCTGGGGATCTTGGGCACGCACGTACACGCACCTGGAGTGAGTTTAAGCCACCGGGTCCAGGACTCGAACCTCAGTCGACTACATGGGAGTCCAGTGACATAGCCATTACACTAACTGCTGGTCCCAATCAATTATTGTTCTAATAGATGTAACACAGTGCTTGGCTCATACAGAACATCCCACAAATGTCAACTCTATTAAGTCACTCATTTCTTCATATGAGAATGAGAGGAGCACCTGCTTCTGATCTCAGGAAAGGGTACGATTTCCTGGGACATGGCTGCCAAGTGGCCAACACTATTTCCCAATTCCAGGGCTCTTCTCTGTTGAAATGTCTTGGCTGGACCAAAGCTGTCCCCTGGCATCTTACCCAGGTCATCAGATTCCAGGTTGCCTGCTGGTTCCTTAGAACACTGTGGTTTCATTCCATGCCCATACTAACCTATTTCCCAGGGCAGTTACTGATCAACTCAAAGTATAGATCCTAGTGAGCCTATAACAGATTTACACCAAAGACATCCCTTGGAAAATATTTGCTTAAGGAGGTCTCTCAAAAGAGAGATTCTCACGGTCAGAGTTTCCTATAAGCCTGATGTAGACATTTTGATAGAATTTTCTGGAATTATGACATCTATGGGATCGATGACAGAACCAAAGTATTTTGGGGCCACCTGTCCTCCTGAGGGACAACACATACCCAGTATTTTCTAGTACATTAACTTTTCTGTGACTGAAGGGATGGGCCAAGGAACAAGACAGTCTGGATTTCTGGATATCTCTGAGATAGGGCAGCCAATGAGAAGATATATCATTAGAGTATAAACCCTTCTTTTGGTTTAGACTAAAATTGTGCCTGATGTATAGCAGACACTCAATAAATATTGGGGCCAGCTGATGGCATGATGGTTTAGGTAGCATGGTGGTTAAGGAGGTTGGCTCTCACATATTTCACTAAGCTGTTTGAATCCCAGGCCCAATGACTTTAGAGACACACCATGCATGTGTACATGTGTGCCCAAAATGCTGAGAGGAGAATGGAGAAAAAAGGATTGGGGTGTGATAATCCCTACTGAGGGTGATTTTTTCCCTCTCTTCTGTCTCTCTCTCTGGCAAGTTCACATGCCCTATAGCAAGTGGTGGTGGAGGAGGAGGAGTTCTGGTGAGCAAGCTGGACTGGGGAGAGTCAGCCTTGATTCATCTAACCAAGCTGTAGTTAGACTAGTAACCCTTCCTAGATGGGAGCAAAGAAGGCTGGCTAGGTTGTGTAAATTAGGAAGACTGGAAGAGAAAAGGAGAGAAGAGAAAAGAATGAAAGAGAGAGAGAGAGAGAGAGAGAGAGAAAAGGAGGAAAGGAGGAAGGAAGGAAACATGTCTTTGTTTACCATGTGCCAGATACTGTCACATGTTATTTAATTTAATTATACCTATTCAGCATTATTTGTAAAGAAAGCACTATTATTTTTATTTTATAAAAATAGAAAATTAATCCTCAGAGCAGTGAAGAAAATAGCTCAAGGTCACTCAGCTCAGATATGGAATCAAAGAACATAAGAACAGGGTGCCTAAAAAAGGTTATGGTTGTACCAGCCTTGCTAAATGGTGCCTCAGTTCTGACAACTTCAGACAGGAAGGCAGATTATCAAGCAAACATTAAATATAGGACCAGCTCTTGGAGTGGTGCTTAGGGTGGCTGAATCCCACATAGCCAACTGTGTAGTTCAAGTCTCAGACCTGGCAACATGAGAAATGTGTGGGTGTATGTGCCTGCATGCCCCAAATCCCAAAGGGATGGAGAGAGGAAGAAGAAAGAATTGGAGCACCTTCCCCCAGAAGGTGCTTTCTCATTGCACGCTCCTCCCCTCTTCCCACTTTCCACCATCTCTCATCAGTGAGTGCACACACCAAAAAAACAATAAATATTGAATCAGTGAGAAAATACAGGTTCCAAGAACTTGAGATAATAGGAAAGTTCACTGGTTTTTTCACAGCTAGGAGCCCTAGAAGATTGGTTGGTTCTTACTAGCACCATAGGATCTATCTGTGATCAGAACAATATCCTATCTTCAGGGGGTAAAATGATGAAAGATGTGACCAAGCCTCTCTGCCTATGTAGGAAGGAACCTACTTCCATATCTTCAGCATTACTCAGGGTTGGGTTAAAAAGAGAATTGGTTTCTATAGAGATAGTTACGCATTGTCAAACTGGAGAAAATTTTAAACTAAAAACAAAGATTTAAGATCCCACTGGTAAAAGTTTATAGGAGTCTTTAATGAAGATCTGCAAACAAGCTTTCTGATTATTTATAGAGCTTCATGAAAAAGCCATTTCTAAGAATGAAATCATCATTGGGATAAGAAGGCTTACATTTTTCCAGAAGATGCTGTTTATTAACAAGGAAAGCTTTGCATTATTAGCATATGCTAACCTTCACCTCCATTGGCATTGACATCAAGAACTGATGAGATCATAGATGCTACTTTTACAAATGACCACGAGTAGAAAAGAGTAGTGAAAATATAGTGGGTTTGAATAGTCGGAAAGCGTTTCATCTGCCATCCCTCCCCACCTTGCTTCCCTTGGGTTCCATGCAGTCTGAAGTACCTGGTAAGAAGGACAGCCACATCATGATGAACAGGGTTGAGGTCACTCTTGGGATTGATGCTCTTTTGCCACTTACAGAAGCTGGACAGTGTCTTCTCTGCATGATGAACTATTTTCAATCCTTGCTGGAGAAGGAAGAGAAAGAGAGTGGCATGGGTGAACTCCAGGCCCATTGCTTTAGGCATTAGTCCATGAACCATCCAAGTGAGATGAGGTTAGATGAGGTTGGATGAATCAGACATTGACAGAAATTTGGCAAAGAAAAGCTTACTCCTCTGCACAGACCATCTGCTCTAAACACCATCACTCTTATGACTTCCACTAAAAAAACCTGAAGAGGAGAACTCCAGGATATAAATTATCACTGGGCCAGGCTGCCCCTAAATAGAAATTTAACATGTATTAGCAAAAACTGACAGCTGTTTGAAGTACTATCTGTAGTGGGTCTCTGCATCCTAAGCCAATACAATTCTAAAGAGGCATTTTCCTTTCGAGTACAAAATGAGCAGTTTTTTTAGTTAAGAGCTTCCTCTCCTCATGAGGTATCCTGCAAGGCTGGAGTTTCACTGAATGTCTTCTTACCCACGATTTCCTTTTGGTTTGACACCTGTAGGTGAAGGGCAGAGGGTGACATGATCCCACTAGATTTCTGACAAGTTAGGGTAATTGATGACATGACAATGATTAAGAATGCTGTAGTAGATGTCCCCAACCTGCAGTTTCAGGGGCTTCTGAGGCCCTGCTCAATCCCTGAATCATTCATGTGATTCAGTTCATCTGATTCACTCATCTCTGAATCAATCATCCATAGCTACTATTGGGATTGTTCCAAATTGTCCAGATGAGTACTGGCCATCTAGGGAGAAGGATAATCAGCTCTAAAGGAGTTCCAGATTAATATGAATTTATAAACGAGAAATTCCTTTCCCTTACTCCATTTCTTTGGGGCCTCCAAATAGAACTATCCTTAGTGCAGAGTAGATTTTACCCAGAAGATATCCACCTTCATTGGTGTAGTGTAACTAGGTCTATTATTTTGGGCTTGGTCCAAGAACTTCAGGACAGTCTCTGCATCAAACTATAAGCATGCTTTGCATTTCTACCCTTTTATATTTTTCTGAGGCCCTCACCTAAATCAGCCTGGTCTGAGGAGCTTCCGTTGCCTGTTAGGGGCCTTTCCAGGTCTCCCTGCTCATGTTAGTTGACTACTGTACTTAATTCATCTTCCTTTCATGAAAACACAGTAAGGTGATGGCTCACCATACATGAAAACTCAGTGAAACAACTCAAAAAAGAATTTGAATAAAAAACCAGACTTCATTACTTAATAACTCTTATTACATCATCTGCTAGAATGAAATATGGTGGTGGAGGAGGAGAAGTTCTGGTGAGCAAGCTGGACTGGGGAGAGTCAGCCTTGATTCATCTAACCAAGCTGTAGTTAGACTAGTAACCCTTCCTAGATGGGAGCAAAGAAGGCTGGCTAGGTTGTGTAAATTAGGAAGATTGGAAGAGAAAAGGAGAGAAAAGAATGAAAAGAGAGAGAGAGAGAGAGAAAAGGAGGAAGGAAGGAAACATGTCTTTATTTACCATGTGCCAGATACTGTCACATGTTATTTAATTTAATTATACCTATTCAGCATTATTTGTAAAGAAAACACTATTATTTTTATTTTATAAAAATAGAAAATTAATCCTCAGAGCAGTGAAGAATAGCTCAAGGTCACTCAGCTCAGATATGGAATCAAAGAACATAAGAACAGGGTGCCTAAAAAAGGTTATGGTTGTCCCAGCCTCGCTAAATGGTGCCTCAGTTCTAACAACTTCAGACAGGAAGGCAGATTATCAAGCAAACATTAAATATAGGACCAGCTCTTGGAGTGGTGCTTAGGGTGGCTGAATCCCACATAGCCAATTGTGTAGTTCAAGTCTCGGACCTGGCAACATGAGAAATGTGTGGGTGTATGTGCCTGCATGCCCCAAATCCCAAAGGGATGGAGAGAGGAAGAAGAAAGAATTGGAGCACCTTCCCCCAGAAGGTGCTTTCTCATTGCACGCTCCTCCCCTCTTCCCACTTTCCACCATCTCTCATCAGTGAGTGCACACACCATCTGGCAAATTTTTTTAAAAAAATGAGCTATAATCAGATATATTTTAGGTCTGTTTTAACCCTACATTTGTTTTGTTTTTGTTTTGTTTGGCAGTAGGATATCCGAGAGAACACTTGTTCATTTAAAAATAGCATTACCATTTATATTTAAATTGTTTAGAAGAAAATGAAATACTTAGGTATAAATCTAAGAAAACATGTACAGGATCTATATCCTGAAAATAACAAGATACTGGGATCTAGCAGATGGCATAATGATTAAATCAATGGATTCCACGTAGTCAACCATGGGTAGAGTCCTGGACCTGGCAGCTTAAACTCACACCAGGCACATGTGCTTGCATGTTTGTCCAAAAATCCCAAGAGGACAATGGAGGAGAAGGGATTGCAGCAAGTCCATCCCCCTCACCCCAGGGGTTGATTTCTCTCACTTTCTGTCTCTCTGGCGAGTACATACACCCTATAGGAAAAATCTCTCTCTCTAAGGAAAAAAAAAAAAAAATCAAGGACCCAAATAGGGCTGGCTCAATTGCTCAGCAGTAAAAAATTTGAAAAAAAAAAAAAAAAAACCTTTAAAATAAGAATATTTCTGCATGTTTAATTAATTATATTAATGATCGTGTCTTTGGTATTGTTTTGTTTATGTTTTTTATGGGTTCTCCATTATTTCATAGGCAGTACAAATGGCAGAAGCAAAGAGTTATCAAGCCCTATGATGATTATATAAAGATTCTGAAAATTAACCAAGCTCTAATTAGAGCTCTAAGAATGCCTGGCATGTTTCCAAACAGAGAGACTACTTATGAAATACAGCACTAATTAAACCAAAACCAGTATTGTCTAAAGATAGCTATCAATAGATTGATTTGATAATTATGCAATGCATGCATGCCTTGAAAAACCCATACTGTACCCCACAAGGATGTACAACAATTACATGTAAGTAAGAAATTATAAAAATTTACGAAAAGTTTATGGGGAAGAAAAGAGCTCATCCACTTTTGGCTACATTCTCCCAACAGCTGTCATGTGAACTACACTGGCACTTGGCAACAACTAAAAAGTTATACTCTATTAATTAGGCTACCAGAGGCAAGGTAGGGAAGCTCAAAGGGAGTGCTCCAAAAATCATAAGATTCTAGGTTTTTGAAAGACTTTTCTCAATTTCACTTCACCATATTGCTATACCTGTCTCCAGTATCTTTCCGTCTCAGCATCTTTTTTTATTGTTACAGAACAAATCAACATGAAAAACTCCCACTCCAAGCACCAGGAAGTACATGAAATTTGTGTTCTGAGCATTAGTAAGCTGTCGGTCATGGTTTTTAAATGAGGCCCTGGCATATATCTTAGCCTGGGGGTCTTTTCCTTGTTAACTCTCACAACACAGTGACATTTGCCCAGGAGGATTCTGATATGGCAACTATCTGATTTGCTTTTCCCTTTGTCCTGCAGGTCAGTTCTTATTTATCTGACTTGTAACTTTCCAAATGATTACACAATAAAGTTCTGGAACAGAGAAATTGACGCTATAGTAACTCAAGTTCTCAATTTTGAAAGTAAGTGAAAATAGCCCAGGATAAAAGGTGTTCAGACTAAAACAATGATAAAACCTACATTTTAACAGAAAGACAAAAAGTAAACTCAAGAATAGAGATTTATATTAGTTTGGAAATAGAAAAACAATGCCCTGAATGTAATCAATACAATTAACTGGTAGATATAGCTTTTTTTTTTTTTTTTAAATGCTAGGAGGGCCCAATACAGCTTGGTCATGCTACAATCTGTTTTCTTCAAATTCTCCATCCAGTCAGGATGCTAAGTGGATACATATATACTGGGTGGGAGGCCAATGGAGATGAGCCTCAAACTCTGATCAACCATGTGGAATCTGATTTAGTGTTACACCTAAATGCTGCACTATAAGGTCAATCTAGATATAGCTTTTGAACAAATAAAATTGAACAGTATATCTATGTTCACGGAATTGGAACATCACATGATGCTTCCTAGATTATTATGATTATGTCGAAAACCCTTTTGCATATGAAGTATGGTATTTCTTCCTCCAGTCTTTTTCCTGGTTTCTACCACAATATTTTCTTTTATTTGCGGCAATGGCCACATCATTCAGTTCCCTAAATTTTCTCATGACAATGTTTGACATTGTAGTGAAGGATGAGGAAACACTCATCTAAACCAAACTTGGCCAGTTAAACTTTGTACTTCATTATACAAAGGTTACCAATGGGTAAATTCCAGGCATCACACTGGATATGCAATTAATTCCATCGTGTGTACTAACAGTGTGAACATATGAGCTGAAAATTAATTCCATTTGTTCATGTAAACATCACTACATTTGAGTTCTATATTGTAGTAGATTTGTTGGATTTTTACCTAAATTAATGTTATGCTTATTTTGCATTTCTTTAATGCATCAGCTGTAATCTGTAATGATAAATTTAAATTCAGATAATAAAGTACTATTTGCCCTTGGGAAATAAATACATAAATAAATAGTGCTGGAGCAACTGGACAGCCATCTGATTTAAGCCTCACATATTATACAAAAATTAACTAAAAATGAATCACAGACTTAAATGTAAAACATGAGATTAAAACTTTTAGAAAAAAATCATAGAAGAAAATCTTGGGGATCTAAAGCTAGGCAAAGAATGTATAGAATCAACACTAATAATTCATAAAAGGAAAAAACTGATAAATCCACATCAAAATTAAAAACATTTGCTCTGAGAAAACTCCTATTAAGAAGATGAAAAATTAGCTACACTGTGGGAGAAAATATTTATAAACCATATATCTGACAAGCACTCGTACGTATAATATGGGAAGAACTCTACAAACTCAATAAAAAATCATAAAATAAGCAAAAGATAAAGAGACACTTCATGAATGAGGATAGACAGATAGGGAATAATCACATAAAAATACTCCCAAAAGCCATAGGGAATTGCAATTAAAACCATGATGAGATATTACTATACAACTATCAGACTGGCTGAAATAAAACATACTGACACACCCAAACATGGAGGATGTGGCAAAACTGCATGAATATGGTTTGAATGTGTATCCTTCCAAATTCATGTATTGGAATTTGGTTGTATGGTAATAGTATTAATAGGATGAAAACTTAATCCAGTTATGGTTTTGAATAATGGGGCTTTTAGAAGTAATTAGCAGAAAGGTGAGACCACTATGATTGACTCCTGGTGAGTTTATAAGGGAACAGAATGAGATCAAACAGAGACACATGAACACAGACACACACTGCTCAAACTCTTGCTGGTCGATATTTGAGGCTCTCTGCTCTGTTGTAATCCAGCCAGAAGACCCCCACCAGATGCAGCCCCCTTGACCTTGGACTTCCAAATTCTGAGCTGAAGAAAAAGTCCATTTTTATAGATTACTCAAATGCAGGTGTTTTCTGTTATTAGCAATAGAATAAACTAGGTCATACTTCATTCACATACTGTGGATGAAAATATAAAATGGTACAGCTTCTATGGAAAATAGGTAGCTTCTTTAAAAACACACTATTGCCGTCTAACCTAGAAACTGCCTTTATCCCAGAGAAATGAAGATTTTTATTCATATAAAAACTTGCAGTTGATCACTTATAGCAGCTTTATTTATTAGCTAAAAACTGAAAACAAACAAACCAATACATACTGTGGAATATATCTATGGAATACTACTTAGCAAATAAAAGGAACGAACTTTTGGTATACACAACAATCTGGATGAATCTCAAGGGAATTATATTGAATGAAAAAAATCTAACGTCAAATTGCATTATTCCACTTACATAACATTCTTTATTTTTTTTTTGAGAGGTTTTTGCTATAGGGTGTGTGTGCTCGCCAGACAGACAGAGAGAGACAGAGAGATAGATAGCGAGAAATCACCCCCCAGGGGGGATGGCCATGCCGCAGTCCCTTCTCCTCCATTCTCCTCTTGGGATCTTGGGCACGCATGCACACGCGCCCAGCATGAGTTTACGCCACCGGGTCCGGGACTTGAACCGCGGTCAACTACGTGGGAGTCCAGCGACATAGCCAACTAACTGCTGATCCCCACTTATATAACATTCTTGAAATGACAAAATTATAGAGATGGAGAACAGATTAGAGATTTTCAGAGGCTTGGTAGGTAGATGAAGGGAGGTATAAAAGGGTTGTATAAAGGACCCTTGTGATAGTGATAGAACTGTTCTGAATGTTGATTGTAGTGATGGTCACAGGAATCTGCACATGTAGTAAATCTGCATAGAACTGAATACACACACACTTATGCACACGCTAATGAGTGCACACAAAACTGGTGAAATCTAAATAAGGTAAGTAGATTGTATAAATATCAATACTTGGTCTAAACCAAAGCTGAAAGCTTGCAAAAAAGAACTCTTACAGCACTCTCCATTATGATTCTGTGTGAGTTACTTACTGGTTATGTGTGACAGCTCACGGTTTTGAATCGAAGAGCACCTGTAGTCTTTCGGATGGGTTATAGTGCGTAGGAAGACCCCACATCAACATACAAACACACCGTACACTTATACTCCTGTACACCTACTGTAAGGTTAAGTTCTTTATTTAAATAGTTATGAATAAACAAGTTTATTAGAACTGAAAAGACACACAGGCTGAAGCCCTTAGTCTCCCTTGATTTATGAAGTCCCTGATAAGGTCACACAGCCTAGGGTATGAATTTACCATATTTGAGAAACTCAACTTTTTAATATTGTCCTTTATCAATAGACTTGGGTCATGTTGGAAGAACTTACCTACCAATCCACGTATGTTCATTTAAGAAAAGTAAATGTTTACAGACATCTAGGTCCACTCATTTCTGTGTCAAACTCAGTGTAAACAAGGACACATCTTTATGGTCATGGAGAAATCACTGTCATTTCCCAGATGTTGCAATGTAAACTCTGCATCCGATTTCCCATCATTATAAAGAGCCTATTTCCCTAAAGGACCTTTAGGAATCCAAACCTCGCATTTAAACAGTGAGGAAATCCAGTCCTGAGAGAAGCTATACTTTAGCCAAAAGCACAAAGCAGGTGTTGGTAGAGCAGGGCTTAGAACCCTGCTTCCCAATCTGAGTTAGGCTCCCACCAATTATGCACATTTGATTCACAGCACTAGCTGCACTACCTTAAAATTATTGAATTGTATACTGTCTTCCTCCTTAGCTGCTTTAGAACAAGAATTGCAGCTTATTCCTCTCCTTGTCACAGGCACTGCACAACTGAGGAATGCACCACCCATAAAGGAATGAAGAAAGGGGGAGAATATAGCTATTTAGACAGGAAAAAGTAAAGATTAGGTGATCTCCATCAGTAAAAAGGCATGGTAATTAGGGAAGAGGCAGGGAAGAGTTTAAGAATAAAGTTTATGATAGTCTCAATTGGGCTGGACTGAGGCATATAGCATGCTGGGTAAAGTCTCTTCACAATCTAAATGATGTCTAGTGATTTAATGTAAGAATAATAATAAAAATATTTTAAAAATTTGAAAAAGAATAAAGTAAAAAATATGGAACCAGCAGTTGGCATAGTGGTTAAGGTGCTAGACCCCCACATGGTTGACCTCAATAGCGGTCCTGGTACCAGTGACAGGAAATTCACTTGGGGCACGTGAGAGTTTTTGCCCAAAATCCAGAGAGGGGACTGTGGAAGGGATTGCAGTGTGGCCAGCCCGCTTTGGGGAGTGATTTCTCAGTTTCTGTCTGTCTGCCTGGAGAATGCACATGCCCTATAGTAAAAATCTCTCTCTCAAAAAAAAAAAAAAAAAAGATAAAATAGAAAATAGGTAGTAATAATTCTGGTGCCTGTGATAGAAACTGATAGGCAACTCTATATGAATGTCTCATGCTTCTGCTTATCACTTGAGCAAAGGCACTGATGGATTTTCTTCCAGATTTTCCTTTCAAGGATGTATAGAAAACAGCTGGCAGTAGAGATAATGTCTCCTTCCAGAGAAAAGGGCAGATTTACTTGCTCTCTATAATGATAAAAGTGATGGCTCCCTTTAGAGCAAAAGTTGGACAAGTTTGCTACAAGTTCCTATAAAAGATTGGGGCTTTCTTATCTTGGAAATCCTCAGCTATGATAAAACTCATTGTGTGCCCAACATACAGCTGGGTTGAACATGTCACCCTTGGGCAATTTAGGAAACAAGAGGTACAGATGCCAACATGAAGTTCATGCCATGTGGCTATCCTGTCAGTAATGAAGTCCTTTGTAACTGTTGTCTTCTGCCAGCATTGCATCTATGACAGTGCGGCAGGCTAACTTGCCAGCTTGAATGGGGGGTAAAGTATGAGACTCTTCCTAGTTCTTCACAGCAATGAGAAGAATGGAGACTAGGTAATGAAGTGGTAGTGAGAATTGCATCAAGCTTGTACCATGTAAACATTCGGGTCAGGTCTGCATGGTTTTCAGATATTCAACTGGAGGTTTTTAATGAGAAATTTTCTAGCAGCAGGGCTCTTAGGAAGAAATAAAGGAGAGTGTAAGGAGATGGGAAGTGTAGATTTCAACAGGGGTTTCTTTTACATCCCAACTTTCCTAAAAGAGTAATTTTGGAGTGACCTGGATTATAGTTATTGATTAGATAGGAGAAACAGACTCTCAAAATTTTGCTCATTTTCTTTTAATTGCTTGTGGAGGTTCCTTTGCAGATGAAGCAAGTGCATAATTAACCCAGTGATCATTTGCAGCCTGGCACTTTCTCCTTGTGAACATATGCAATATGTGGCATTTAACACAAGTTCAGTGATAGGTTCTTCAAGATACCTTACCACATTTCTACTAAAAGCTCATCAGTACAGGTTTGATCATTCCCTTCAGCCTCTTAACATTCAAGTCCCACAAGGGGCTAAGTCAAAGATACATCCATTCATTTTGTTTCTTGAATGCATTTGATCACAGGAGCCTTGAGAAGAGTAATTAATTACGCATTAAGACCATGTTGCTCTAAGCATGCATAAGAAGCAAAATGACTTCAGGGAGATTAGTTGGCTCACAATGTGGGAGGACTTGGGCTATACTTTTTTCCATTGAACGTCCTGGTAAATATTTGAGCTTGTCAAAACAAACCCCTATCCACACCATTCCCCCCACCCCTTATTTCCTTTGCAAACAAAAATAGATTTCCTTTGTGTGCATAATTTTTTTCTCTCTTCATCTATTCAAGCTAGTCCAATTCACTTCCAATTTCTCCTTTCCTATATAATTGAGTATGTGCCCTTATAGAGTAAGGAGTTGACCTAGAGGAAATCAGCAACAGCTCACATAAAAGCCCCAAATGGGAGATTTGAAATGATTTTGTAAGAACATGGCTTTTGGTATAAATTGTTTTCCCTCTTTGTAAACTCTCTATATAATGAAAAAAAAATCTTGTATTGATTTCTCTGGACTTCCTTGTAATGACTTTTTACTTAATGCACAATGAACCATGCTTTCCTAGCCAGGCTTAGGCTACTCAAAGAAAAAGAATGGACAGAGAAGAGGTGAATAGTAAAGTGCTTAATCTAAAACTTTCCATGTGCCTAGGGAATAACTCATCTGGCTATTGAAAAATATACTTTTTTTAAAAAAAGAAAGATAAGCCTAAAAATCTTTGCCAATATTTTGGACATTTAACCTGAATAAGCAATAATTATATAGGTTATTACAGACCCATACATTAGCTAGTGTGGAGGGGGAGAAAGAGAATACCAGATGGAGTTTAAAAAATGAACAGTTTTAACTCTAGAATCTCACAAGAGGGAACCCAACACTAAATGACTAAGTAGACCAGGAATAAAGTTTCTGGGGAGGCAGTCACCTCCTTTCTATCAGTCTTACCGCTGTTCCTTCAGACCAGATGAATGCCTTCAGGCCTCACCCCTGCATAGCATATTCACTTTCAACCCACTTGGCTTCATCCAACTCACTCTCATCCCAGTTTGTCTTAAACTGTTCTTACAAGAAGAGTCCAAAGATCTATTATTCTAATCTTCTCATTTAGGGTTTTTATTTTCTTTCTTCTAGGGATTTTGAAGACCTTGTGAAATGAATATAGTAGTAACAAGTTTATGAGGTTATTATGGGAACTAAATGAGGGTGATGATGATAATCATGAGAATAATAGATTGATACTAACAAATAACATTTATTGAATGGTTTCCATAAGCTAGACATTATGTTAAGTATTACAGGATTAACACATTTGATTCTCACAACAACCCTATGAAATAGATACTATCTTCATTATACAAAATGAAGAAATGGAGGCATAAGTAGCTTCACAAAATAACCTACCAAAGGTTAACAGAGATAAATGATGGGACAATGGGACTATGGGATCAACTATAAATCTTTTCATGATGTTAAACTGCTCACAAGAATTGGAAGGAAGAGTCTAATTCCATCCCTAACTCCTGGCTTTAAAAGGGGTGCAAGGAGACCATTAAATGAATTGGTTTAAAATGAAAAAAAACTAGAGGTCAAGTTTGTGTCCAGGTCCTGGGGTAAATTAAAACTAGAATTAGGGTCATAAATGAAAATGATAATTTGATTCGAGGTTAGGTGGAGACAAGATAAGAGTGAGAGCAAGTTGGCTCATAATTTCTTTTTAGTTGCTGTTAATTTGTTAGAGAAAATGTGTGCTCATAGAAGAAAGAGTGCAAGAAAAGGAAAATGGAAAAAGGTCCTCCCATAGGGAATGGTCACGCTGCAATCTTTTCTCCATTTCTCTTTTTAATATATAGGGCATGCATACACATGTTCCTGGTGTGATTTTCAAGCTGCCTCATACAGATCTGAACTGTGCCGTCTGTCATGGGGGATCCAGCTCCTTTAATCACCACAGGCTGCCTCATTTTTTTTTTTAATTTGCTAGAGGGTACATGTGCTCACTAAAAAGAAAGAGGGAGAGAGAGTGAGAAAGAGAGAGAGAGAGTAACAAAGAACCCGCCATGGTCATGCTGAAATCCCTTCACCATCACTCCTTTCTTTCGGGGTTTTGAGTATGTATGACAAGCACCTGATGTGTACCTCAAGCTGCCTGCTCTAGAACTCAAACCACACAGTCAACCATGTGAGATCCACCACACGACAAGCTGGCTCATATCTTAGGACACTTTCTGTTTTCTTTGCCTGCGGTGTCTTCACATGTTTGGCATGTCTTTCCAGATCCTTGTTTTGTGAACCTCCACTTCCAGTACTCTGAAATACAACAACCTAGCCTTTCAGGAAGCTTCAGAGTGCTCTAAGGTGAGTTTCACATCCAGTACTCCAGTTTATTCATAAAATGTGATGAAAATCCATAGTAGTGTTTCCATGTCAGTAACAAACACAAGCTACAGGTTATGCGTGCAGGTTAACTTCAAATTCTCTTGAATACCGCAGAAAAATAAAGTCCAAAATGATGTTAGCTGTTAGTTGTAATTAGACAAAGGAAGACAAGCATCATAGAAAGTCACTGATAAAAGAGAAGTACTTCAGCAACCATGCCTTGGTATTCCTTACCTCATATACTTTCCACAGAGCTCAGAGCTATCTCTCTAATTTCATGGTTGGTTTGGAATCACGCAGAGTCTCCCAGAGGACTCAATCCAAACCCTTTATATGGTTACAGGGCTCATCATGATTTTTCTGCTATTAAACTTTCTCTCCAACTTAATATTTGCTTCATTTATACTTCTTTATCTTATTTAGTATTTAAATAAACATTTATTATGGTCTATTATGTACCAGTAGAGCTAAGTTGTGACATCATACCCTACTTCTGCCCTTAAGTCTTATATACCCAGATAGGAAACTGCATCAGTTAAGTAGATGCAAATTTACAATGGTGATACATACTATGAAGACATACACAGTGTTATGGGAGTGTCTAGTAGAATCTTATTGGATATGGATATTAGAGAAAGCATCCCCAACAAAGTGACATATAAACTGAGATCTGCGGGATTAAGGTCTTACTAAGTGAAGACAAAAAGGAAGGTAGGCCAGACAACAATAAAATCAGTGGCAGGTCTGGAAAAATATGATATATAGATTGCTGCTATAGCCTGAGGGCAGAGAGGATATGGTAAGAAATGAGGGATCAAGTCAGAAAACTAGTGGGCTGTTTGAAACCATGAGTTGGAGTTGACGAAGCGTTGGCAGGAAGGTGGATACTATCAGATGACCATCTGGAGATCATGCTGGCTGCAATGTGGAAACAAGATGGAAAAGAATCCCACTGATTCTGTATAGACCAGAAAATGTGTACAACTGTAATCCATGAGAAGGATAACTGCAGGTTGAATTGAAGCGACAAGAAAGGAGATGGTCAAATAACATTGGCAGTAACTGGCTAGATATGGGAAGGAATGAGCAAGATATCACGGAGGCCTTCGGGATCTCTGGGAGAATGATAAAGTCATATACAGGGACAGGCAATACTGGAATAAGACCAGGTGTGAAGAGCAGATAGGTTTAGATTGGCTGCTTTCTCTCTGGCCTCTAGCACAGTCACATTGTTTCCATCCCATCACTACAAGATTTCTCAACCTCCCACTTTGGGGTACAATACCAATGATGTCTTTATACCCCTCATATGTGAAGTGCTAGTTTAAGCATGAAAGTCATTGCCCATGCAACTTCCTCTATTGGGAATGTCCCTCCTCACTGGCTAATTGTTTCTTATCCTCTAAAAACAAGCTTGGACATCTAAGTCCCCTCTCCTAGGTACATATTTTCATACTCATGACTATCTTAAATTGAAAATCTCTATTTCTGTGCTTTTGTCAGTAGATTCTAAGTTCTCAAAGTCAGGAAATAGGACTTATTTATATTCATATTTGTATCCTCAGTGACGAGCATAACATTTGATATATGCACCATAATTCTGTTCTCATTTAAAGATAAAGAAAAACGGGGCATGGAGCAAGGAAGTGACTTTCTCAGAGTTGCCTACTGAATGACAGAGTCAAAATAAGAACTCAGATCTCTCCAAAAGCAGCCATAGCTCACTTCGGCACTCTGTACTGCATTATGTCACCCTGATGTTGTTTGTTCTTGTTGGGGTTGCTCCATCATCAAAGACATGAAGAGGACCCAGAAGCATTTTCTGAGAATCAAATAAATGAAAATTGTGGATTGCAATTCTGCTGTCAACTTGTGAACCTTGTTCCACTTAGAAATTCTATAAAAGCTTGAATGAGAAAAATGTTTGGCAAGTGAAAGGTAGAAAGCCCTGCTGTCTACAACAAATCATTTGTGTCTCTTTGTACATGCAAAATATTGTTGGGAAGAATAACAATGTAATTGTGATAGAGTCAAGGTGGTGATGGACAATCAAAATCTCCCAAACAACTTCACTAGCAGCAAGATGCCACTGCTCCTGAGAATGAAGAAATGTGGAATGCAAAGGGCCCTGATCTGTGGAAACTATATTTTGTGGAGGAAAAGGGCTAGAGAAGATTTTATTTTCCCCCTGTAGAAAGTATATGCTCACCAGAGAGAAATGAGAAATCACCCCTAGAGAGGGATGGCCATGCCACAATTCCTTCTTCTCCATTCTCCTCTTTGGCTTTTGGGCGGGCATGCATGTATATGCACCTGGCATGATTGTTTTTTGTTATTATTATTCACTACCTTTTTTGTTTCATTTTCTTTTATACATTCAATCCCATTACTTAGCTTACAAAGTGAATTTTTCAACATATGAACATTTCTTCCTGGTCCAGTGGATACACCCATTTACTGGGTTTCTATATCCTTTACTCAATCCATTTTAGTCATAGAGTGTGGACACTCGGTATATATTAAGTGGGGACATACAATGCACCTGGCATAATTTTTAAGCCACCAGGTCCAGGACTCTAACTACAGTTGGCAATAGTGGGAGTCTAGCGCCTTAATCACTATGCCACTGCTGTCTCTGGAAACTACATTTAAAATTTCTACCAGTGGTATTACTGGGGCTGCAGAGAGTGAGAATGTGTCCTTCTTATACCTTTCTTTTTTGGTCTGAAAATTCTACATCTGCTTATCTTCATCTAAGTGTACTCATATGTTCAAACATTAGGAGAGAGTGAAAATTTGTACTCCAAGGTCTCAAGGAATAATGTTTAAAAACTTGAACACATAATTCTCACACAAATATATACAGTGAACACATATTAAAGACGTACTTAACTCATTGGTGAAGAGACAGACAAGAAGGCAAACCTGGCTAAAAGGCACAAGAAATCAATGCATCTATAGCTAATGGGGGGGGGGGAATACTGGAATAAGATTGTTGAGATATAAAATTTAGATATAAAATTAGGTAATGTTCTACTGACCAATAAATCTATAATCTTCAGGGTTATCTTCTCTGCTAGTAAAAAATCATTTTCACCTTTACTAGACAAAAATCATCAGTACCTTATCAGTTTTCTACATATTGACATCTAACTTTACCACATCTGGACCCTAATCAATAGTAAATAATAATCAAAATTATATTTCCATACTGTCAGGTCATGTTAGACATTGAAAGGATACTTAGACTTTACTTTTAGTCAAAGTTTTGGATAAGCTTATTAGCAACAACAACAACAAAAAAATCACAGGAAAATAAAAAAATATACCCATTGGTATTCCAAGATATCCAAGGCCAGGCCGTGCCTTGGCATTTTGACCATAGTTCTTTCATGAATGAGATCTAGACGATGCCTTTATTCACATATTTCAGCTGCTAAATAAGATTTATAGGTTGCAAGGGCATTTCAGCAAGTCAGCCAATTTATTTATTCATTTGTTTATGTGCTGGGAATATAGCAGAAAACAAAAAAAGCACAGCTTTTGCCCTCATGAAATTCACATTTTGATAGTGGCTGAGATAAGAGTAAATGAGTACACAAAATAATAATGAATTGTGAGAGTGCTATCATCCTCTGACAGAGACTAGTAAGAAGGGCCAGCTTTCAGTAGGTTTGTCATTGAGACCCCTCTGAGGAGACAGCATTTAAGCAGAGGCCTGAAGGATGAGCCAGCTAATAATCACAACCAGGAGAGAAATGTTTAAAACACTGGAAACTACAAGCGTACAGACCATGAGGCTGAAAAGTGCCTTGTGTGTTCCAAAACTCATCTGAAGTATTGGGTAAGTAACTAAGAAGAGTTAAGAGAAACCACAAAGGTGATAAGAGCAAAGATAATGAAAATCTTGGTAGACCATAATAAAATTTTTTAAATTTATTCTAAAAGAAACAGAAAACCATTAAAAGGTTCTATGCAATAGAACAATTCAGTTTCTATTTAAAATACACAGTTTTGTTTGTTTGTTTGTTTGTTTTGAGATAGGTTTTTGCTATAGGGCGCATGCACTCATCAGAAACAGAGACTGAAAGCAAGAAATAACTCTCCAGGAGGGATGGCCATGCCGCAATCCCTTCTCCTCCATTCTCTTCTCGGGATCTTGGGCATGCACGCACATGCACCTGGTGTGAGTTTAAGCCATTGGGTCCAGGACTCAAACCCTGGTCGATGACATGGGAGTCCAGTGACACAGCCATTCTGCCAACTATTGGTCCCAAAATACACAGTTTTGACTGTACATTGAATGACTCTCTGTGGAGAATAGTTATGGGGGCAAAACTGAAAATAAGAAAACCATTTGAGAGTTCACTTTAGTAGCCCAGGCAAGATGTGAGAAAGCCTATACCCATGTAATGACTCTAGAAGTGGTGGAGAGTGTCATCTTGAAATAGATTTTGGAGGTGGGACAACTGTGGGCCTTGCTATTGGATGTGGAAGATAAGAAGAGGAAGTGAAGGACAACTCCTAGACATATGCAACCAGTAAATAATAGGACTATTTACTGAGATGGATAAGATGGTGATTGGGGGATGTGGAAAGGTAGAATTGAGGTGATCTGGGCAGGAAGTAATCAGGAATTACATTTTTGATTTAATAAATATCTATGATTGAGTGGACTATGACACATCCAGGTTGAGATGTAGAGAGAATAATTGGATATCAGTCTGGAGCTTAAGAAAGAGATCCAGCTTAAGGTATCAATTGTGAGCCTTAGTATGTAGATGGTACACAAGTATCTGAAAATAGGTAAACTCTCCAAAGGTAAAAGTGCAGATAAGAGGGGCCAGCAGGTGGCGTGGTAGTTAAGGTGTTGGACTCCCACCTGAATGACTTCAGTTCGAGTCCCAGACCTGGTGACTTGCTTTCTCACTTTCTCTCTCTTTCTCGCTCTCTCTCTCTGGTGAGCACATGTACCCTGTAGCAAATTTTAAAGAATACCAATAATGATAAATAAAATTAAATAATTCTTTTTTAAAAAAGTGCAAAGAGGAAAGAGGGCCCAAATCTGAGAGACTTATTTTAATATGCAAGAGTTAAATTAATAGTACAGAAGGTTCAGCATTGGAAAAAGAAAGAAGCAAAACATCTAAGGGATACAAAAATGAAAAATTATCTGTTGATGATAATATGCATGGTAATATCTTTGAATCAATCTACAGTATAATCAGGATGGGAAAATTCAATTGATATGCTGTAATGATACATGATTAAACGTAAAACAAAATAAATAAATAACAAAAGGAAAAGAAGGTTCAGCATTTCTATGTCTGTTTTAACATTTCTGTTTTCTATGTTTGTTTCAACTTTTACTGTAACATCTACTCATAAAATAATTTTGTCTATTTCTACTGTGGGACATTCCTAGTGATGGCTGTAAGTATGGTCTGCGTGTTATTAGATGCAATGACCATTAGGTTATTCCAACTCTGTATAAGTTGGTAAAAATGTCTTCCATCTTTCACTTGTTATCACATGAAAATAAGGCTTTTCTTCTCAGTGGATTTATGAATATTTTCTGGTACTCTT